ATCATTCGGTTATTTATTTATGATTGTAAGCGTAGCCGCAAAATTAAATGAAATACCACCCTCGACTTGACACCTCAAAATCGCTTGCGCGGAGTCCCGTGCATGCGGTCGGGGCCAAGCACCAGTGGCAATGCTTGTAGGGACAAAATCACCCCATTACGGAGCTCCGAAAACCAAACAAGACAATATGATATATAGTATAAAAGTAGGTGTAGTATACATGGTTGTGAGAACGGAAAATGGGGTTCAGTCTGAACGCCCTGTCTTCTCGTTTCTCGCCTGTTGCATTCGTTGTCGGAAATGGTTAACATCACTAGATGCAGGCCTATAATTCTCTCATTTCGGGAGGCCGACTGGATTTGGCCGCTCGACAGCGGCTTTCAGGGCGTGTACACTTCTCCATTGGTGTGTATGGATCATCTGGAGTTTGTCAGATGCCCTTATCCCACTAGTGACGTCAGTGAAGCGTTCTCGCAGTGCAGCGAGAAAATCAATAAGGTGAGTGATGGCAGAGTATTGGACCATATCGTTTTCGCAGTGGGCGGCACGGGCAAGTGACCTTGCAAAGCTAGTCGCTTTGTCTCTCAAAGCATGAAAGGCTATCGAGACACGGTTTTGGGGAGTTGTGTCCTCTTAAGTACATATAGGACTCAACGTTAGCTTCCAGTTGTCAAAGTCTTCCCCCTTTTTCCCACTGTAGGGCTCAGTGAAACGGGCTTTGACTCTCTCCCGGCAGGGTTGAGCTTCTTCTTCTTTTGGGATTGTTAATTTGGTACCTTCTATCGCGTCGGTACAAAACTTTTATGTCCTCCCAATCGCGTTTCACATCTCGTTCACAATATAAGTCGTCATATCCCGGGCGAAATCCCGGGACTCGTACAGATTCAACCGCTATGTTATGCCCACTGATATGCTTAAGTTGTTCCTGTTGCGCGTTTAGGATGGACCCTATACGACGTGATAGGGTGTCAATCTTTTTCCACATTTCAGTTTCCTCTCCTATCTTCCCCAACCATATTTATGTCGCCTTCAATTCCCTCTCCATTATGTCTGTCATCTCCAAGTGCCTCTTCTTCTCTTGAGCGAGGCGCAACTTCCACTCTCGTTGTTTTTCCTGTTCCCTTGCTGGTCGACACAAGGGATCCCTTTCGCCTTCCAACTCTCTTCTGACCACTTCCCTTTCATCATGTGGAACCATCAGTTCTGCTTCCTTATCTTCTCCCAAGGATAATTTCGCCACCCATTCTTTCACAGCCCTTTCCACCACTTCTGGTGGGGCTATGCTGGAACTTCTCTCCTCTCTCCTCCTCCCTTTCCTTTGGGTCCCTCCTTCCTTCTCTTTTTGTCCTTCTCTCCAACGGGGTCTCTTCTCCTTCGACTTCTTCGTCTTCTTTTTCTTCTTTGGCCAGTTCGAGGGCCAATTTCACCTCTCGTTCTTTCTTCCACTTCTCCATTTCTTCCTCCATCTTTCTCTTTCTGGCCAATTCTTCTTCCTACAGGGCCAACTTCTTCGCCTGCCTTTCTAATTCCCTCTTCTCCTTTGTCTCTCTCCTTTTGCGGAGAATTGCGATAGCCCTCTCCTCTTGCTCCTTACTGTACAGGGTTGTGGCAGTTCCAGACTTTGTGGTCACCATCTTGACAAGGTGCACAATCACAACGGATTCCGCTCCTCGACACCTACCACCTAAGCACTGACTATCTAAGGGACTACATAGGTCCTCTCCTCTCTTCACAACCGTCGGATGCCCGTGCACCCACAGTCCAATCTTGCTTGGCTTTGGCTTCAAGTTGACCCTCTGTCAACTACTCGATACTAATCTGCTGCTAGTCTACTGCTAGTCTGTCACTACAGAACCACCGACAGATCAGGAGGCATTTTAAGGAGGTCCCCCATAACTCCTCGGGAATCATTTAACATCACAGTCAGGACGCTGATCACAGCCAGAGTTCTCTCAAGACGTTAGACAGACTGGACGTGCAATCTGCAGCTTGGAGTTCAGGTATAGTGCACCACCCAGAGCAACCTGCTGGTCTGTATCGGTCCTTGGGGTGTTTTCCCAGGTCGTATAGCATCAGATACACCTCACCCCTACTAAGTCCCGTGCAGATATTGGCCCCTCGGCCTCTATCAGACCACATGCATGGAACCTACCGACCGGAACAGGAGTGACTCAATGCAGAAAGAGATGGCAGACTATATACCAGCAAGTTCAAGGTGAGTGTGCACATCCACAGAGCATAAAAGGACAAGGGCTAGGACTTGAAGGGATTATACCGCTCCTTGCTCCCCACTCCAGCTTGGTCAACGCTTGCCGGTCAACGCTCGCCGCTCAACGCTCTGACCACCCTGGTCAACTCTCGGCCAACCTTTGGTTAACACTGGTCAATGCTGCGGTCAACCCTTTGACAACCTGGCTATGGCAGCTTCTTCCCCTTAGTCAACCTCTCCTTCTTCGTCCTTGAGCTCGGCTATGGCTGACTTCCTCTTCTTCTTCACCTTTGTCACCTCTCTCTCTCTCTCTCTCTCTCTCTCTCTCTCTCTCTCTCTCTCTCTCTCTCTCTC